CGATGTCACGAGGGGATCAGTTGAAGAGCTCCGTGCCTCCCGCACGGACTTGACGGTTGTCTGCACCGTCGTCGCCAAAGGTGTTGTGCCCTCCTGCACGGCTTTGATGCTTGTCGGGACCATGGTCGCCGGAGCCGTTGTGCCCTCCTGCATGGTCTCGACACAAGCCATCATCATCGCAGGCCCACCGTCCTCTTCAGCCTGGACGAGGTTTGCCTCTCCTGCGGCTGCCTCGTCGGCGATCCTTGTGTGAGATGCCCGGGACCAGTGACCCGGCATGCCGCAGTAGTGGCACTTTCCCTGCTGTTGGGGCTGTCGAGCATTCCGCCTGCGGTTGCTGCCACTGTTCTGGGTGTGGCCTACGCTTCTAGCGCGAGCTCTGCTTCTGGTGGGGGCGCCTCCCTCACTGTCGGAAGAGCCGTGGTGGCCGCGTGGTTGAAGGCGCGTGTTCCACTGCTCCATGGTGAGCAGTAGTTCACTGCCAACGCGTTCGTCGGCTTCGTCGCCACGCTCCTCGACGACCTTGAGCCCGCCTACCAGCTCCTCGATGGTCATGGTGGAGACATCCACCAAGCTCTCGATGGACCAGGTCAGTTGCTTGTACTGCCTGGGAACGACGCGGAGGAACTTGAGAACCACCATCTTGTTCTCAATGTGATCTCCGAGCGTTGCGAGCTCGGTGACGAGACCTTGCAGCCACAAGGCGAAGTCGTCGCTTATTCACCGGCTTTGAACCGGATCTCCTCGTACTGGAGGCGCAAGGTCTAGGCCTTTGACTCCCATACGCGCTCCATGCCCATGCGCAGTCTTGATGGTGTCCCATGCTTCCTTGGTCGTCTTCTTGGCGCCAAGGGTGAGCACCATCTCCGGTGGGACGGACCGCAAGATCGCCTCCATCGCCAGTCGGTCCTCCTCGTACTTGACATCACCGATTTCGACGGCTTTCCATATGTGTCATGCCTCCATGATGACTTCCATCATGAGCGACCAACTGGGGTAGTTGGTCCGTGTGAGGAGAGGGAAGGTGGTACTGGACAATGCCCACATCTCGTACGGAGCGTGGCACGTCCGTTGCACGGGCCTCCTCAGCCGAGCTCTGCTCGGCGGTCTTGAAGCCGTCGTCAGCGACGCCTTTTTTCGGCATATGCTTTGGCGTAACCTAAGGCTTTGATAGTCTCAACACCATTTGTTAATGCCACGAGAGGCCAATATGAGCACAATCCTAAAAAATCTTTGATTCTCCTATGAGACGATACATATATAGCAAAAAAAGCCATGGAAATTCTCCGGAAATCCTACAGACCGAACGAGCCTACACTCGTTCTACACTCGTTGCCCTCCATGCACGCATGTACATGCGTCCTGCCTCCTGAACACACCAAACACGTGAGCAAATCCGTGCGCTTTTTTTTACCAATTATTTTATATACTATAGAAACGGTGTGCTGAGTGCTCGCGTCGCACGACTTGTGTGTAGTTAAGGGCTACCAGCTGGTTTGCAAAGGGCTATGACTGAAGAAAAATAGGAATCGCATGCCTACCAACTGGCGTGCGCTGCAAAGGGACTGTCCATTTTGTGTTGACCGGGGGATCACGCACGCGCGCTCCCCGTAATGCTTCTTGACGAAGTACACTACTAGTAAAGTACGACGCCACCTCAGGCCCTTCTGTCGGCTTCACGAACCAAGACGAGGCGGTGCCTGCTGCGTTGAAGTCGTACTGGCAGTAATAACATTTCCATCTTCCGTTCCGTGGCGGAGTCGATAGATTTCACGCACCGTACCTCGTCGTAACCCGGCTCACTCGACGGCGATGGAAACGGTCGCCTGGCTTGACGGCTTGTGCGTCCCTGGACGAGGAAAGGGGACTCGATCAGATTTACCGAGCGGCGGCACCGCAGCCGACCGGGTTCGTCGGGCTGTTACAAGGCCGTAAATTGCCAAGAATCAGAGCATACATTTCTAGCACATCCCTTTCGTTCCTCTGTTCCTTCTCTCACGCACGCAAAAAAAGACCTCCATTTGTTGAATGCGATTCAGTAGTCAGCAAGCACCGACATCCGCGCTCATGTGTATACATGCTTTCATGAATAGAATACTCCTGATGATGACATGCCTGCTGACAATTACGTTTACGTGCGCTGAAGACCTTGGCAATCTCCGATGGATGTCGGCTATAGCTATTCAAAGTTGACCTAGAAAATCGATATAGAAAAAATGACGAGGTTCTCTCCGTGGTTTTCCTCTCATGGTCAAGGCATGCTTCGTTTCATTCCAAAGTTATTTTTACTTGTCAACGAAACACATTCAAGTTAAAGTTCAAGTTAAACACATCCAGTACCAAGTGTTGGGAGCATGGACGGATAGGCGCGCTTCAATTTCAACGAATGAAATGTCTTTTTTTGCCATAAATAATGTCTCTTAATTAAAGTGAGTAAACAGAATTCCATACTCGATTCATAGATCCCTATAGAA